CTGAAACACACATCAACCTGCTAATATACTCGCACTCTCCTCAACACAGACTTAAACTATCTGCAACACACTTCACTAGGTAAGTGGTTGCTAGAAATCAATTCACTTAATTGCATATTGATTAGAACAGGATAAAGCAAATTGTGAAATTTACAGAGTGGTTTCCCCTTCAAGGGAGGGTGGGGGTGGGCGGGGGTAAATGCAGGTCTCCTGAGCCAGGTAACTAGAGGCAACCTTCCCTTCTTCAGCTCAAACCTGATTACCTCCCATTCCCCAAGTGCTGTATCATCCTAATGGGTTTAGCGTTTCCCCATTAACAAAGAAAAACACCCAACGATAAACTATCAAACAACACACACACACACACACACACACAACTTGCATGATAAAGTGCCAAACAACAGAAAATGCAAGCACGAACAAGCACACAAAAAATAAATACAATCACACCAAGGTCAAATAATTCGCAACGGTTACAAAAAAAAAAAAGAAAACATGATTTTGCTTACAAACAAATACTTCCCTGAAAACTGCCTGAGGTTACCATAGGTTTCTCTTAATTATAAAACCCACGACTCAGACGAAACAACCTAGTTACATTAATTATTGTTCGCTCTATACACGAAGCACTAGAACGTTTTGTATATTCAGCGTATTAAGCATCTTCAGTTTCTAACGTTATACCGATATAACAAATATACACCATTAATACCAACTTGCTACTGTCGTGACCAACTCTCATTACATAAATCATAATAATAATGCAAGTAAAAAAAAAATCAATTTTTCATATAACGCAAATCCACGTCCATTAAACATTCCATGTCATCAATCATGAGTGTGAGCAAATTTAGACGAAAGGGGAAATATCCCCACCATTTATACCGAAAGATATGCTGAGTTCTTAGCCAGACAAACACCTGTAGATCTACAGAGGCACCCCTCCCAAAGATGACGACCCCCTACCCCTAGGCACAAATTACAAACCCCAACCACCTATAGACAAATTAGTGGGCCAACAATTGTAAAGTGAATTAAAATAGAGGCCTGAGAAATCCCAACACTGAACACGGACTGTATTTAAGAAGAAAAATGAAGATTTTGCAAAATGAAAGAAAAAGGTTAGTGGAGATCCTAGAGATGGATTTCCGAGAGGTAAACCAGCACAGTTAGAAGGAAGGGAAAGCGTGCCTAACAAATATGAAGCTCTGAGACAAAGGTTAGGAAAAGTTCGTCAGGAAACAGGACAAGTGTCTCCCTGACGCGGGTCTTAGCCAGATGATGACCCGCCGTTGGAGCTTTTGGTTATCTGACCGACGCCTTCCGCTGGCTTACCGGTCCACCCCTTTAAAAATTATGGTCGTAGTTGTAACCATTTTTTGTTTGTTAATTCTGAAGCTAAGAGTTACAGAGACGAAAAGAAGGGCAGCGCTGGGTGAAGGACTAGTTTGTAAAATGCTTATGGTATCTTACCAAGCTTGAGATTAATCCACTGGCAGGATTAACGAGCAAAATCAGAGTGGATCACGGATTACTTGACAGACAGAACACACTAGGCGAGGGTAGCGAGTGGAATACCACAAGTTGTGATATCGGAGCCACTACTGTTTCTGGTATACATCTTAACCTAATCACCAAATCAGCGCTTGCTGAGGCTGCCTCTGCCCAGCCAATCAGTTTCTGCAGACTGCCTCTGCCCAGCCAATCAGCTCATGCTGAGGCTGCCTCAGCCCAACTAATCAAAGGCGTCGCTTCAAACAGTGACAATAAAGCGCCTTGGGTTGTGTATGTCGTAGAGGTGCAGTGGAGTGTGAAGATGATAAAGCCAGCACATAATTTGCCGCGACACAACCACTGTTCCAGCGGCCCAGCGCCTGCCCGCTGGCGCTCGGTAAATACACCTTAATCTATATGCAGGTAAACAGCTATTACCTGTGTGCTGGCTCAGACAACGGTCGCTTTAACATATGCACTATTAATCCAGGGAAATTAGCTATATATATTTATTTGAGGGGCCAACTGTTGAACTAATTCGTAATGAAATATTATCTTATATAATTATTGAGAATGTGTTCCTTAACAACATAGCAAACATCCTGACATGCCAGGAGAATCTTCGCCGCGATCTTTGAAAACCAGCAGCCCTTTGCTATTTTTCGTGTTTTACTTCATTTTAGAAGATTCCACTTAATAGTAAAATGAAAAAAAAAAACTCAAAATTGTTCACATCAAAGTATATTTAAAATTTTGGCACGACTAATATTCTCCGAAAAAAATAAATATTACCCTTTTTGCATACCGCTCATGATGTGGAATACAGGACGAGGCTTTGATGTGCTCTCCCCGGTGAGAAGGATGGACAAGCTTTGAGCTGGTTTATGGAAAGACCTAACAACAGATCCGACTTTAATACGTTCCATAAAGACTTCAAGAGACATCATCCTCGACGGGGAATCAGTGAAGGAATATTATTGAATTAGATACAAGGAGCACTGGCTGCCGGTGACATGTGTTAGTGCGCAGGAATTAACAGCTGACTGCTGTAACAATCTATGTTAATTTAAAACGAACGTTGCAGATGTACAGTAGTTTCAGGAACACCCACCGTTTCCAAAGCACAAACATATAATGTCCACAGTAATTTGCAATGTGTGTAACGGTAAAAAAAAAAATGCCACAGCAGTTAAGCTATTGAAATGAAATCAATTAAGACACTGGCAGGAACTCTTGAGGAAGCAGCTATGGAGTCGCTTCTGAATCTAATATCATGCACATACAACAATAGTAGCGATGGACGATACAACTGCAAGTGACTACTGGGTCGAGATGCTCAGATAACGGAGTGCTTGTCAAGGAACAACGTACCAATATTGTTTCCTACAATACTTAGTTTCAAGTTGTTTTTGGTGATCATGACATAGATTATATCTATAAATTGTTGTTAATGAGAGACGAAACAATGATGTTACTGGAACTCATCACAGTTATGATGAGGAAGATAAAATGTAGACGATCCTGTTGACAATGAGTCCACTTTTCATGGTCACCAAGCATTGATTTTTTTAAAGAGTGACATGCAGGCTTACTTTAAAATCCTCACAGATTCTATTGATTATAAGTGAATATAATTTATACAACCTTGGTTGAACTTATATTCATATTGCAATCAATATATTTTTTTTAATAAATTAGTTTCGATTGTATTGGGCTCAACCATGGACCTGCTGGATGCAACATCCTCGGAGCGTTTAACTCTTGTCCAGTTCTGTTGCTATATTTATGTTGTTGTAATCATAGTTAAAGAATTAAAAACTGGACAAGAGTCTAATGCTTTGTTTATTCATGCGGGAGATTTTAATCATCCAACTGATTATGAAGGTTGTATCAAGCAGGTCCATGGTTGAGCCAAACACAATCAAAACTAGCCTCATAAAAAAAACAGTATTGATTGCAATGTAAGTTCAGGGTTGTATAAATTAGATTCATTTATAATGAACAGAATCTGTGAGGATTTTAGACTATGCCCGACATGTCACTTCTCAAAATATTTTTACTTGACATGTGACCTGACTGTATCTTCACTACACTCCCACGAGTGGTGAGTACGGTCATATGTGGAGTCATGTGAGGTCATATGTGGGGTCATGTGTGAGGTCATATGTGGGGTCATATGTGGGGTCATATGTGAGGTCATATGTGAGGTCATATCTCAGCTTTACAAGTCTTCTGTTGTCCTATTATTGTTGCTATTCCTTGATACTGTGAGAAGTCATCAAAGCACTTGGAATTTTAACTGTTTTTTCACTATGGTTATTTTGCATATTGTTATATCACCTGTTTACTGTGATCTTACTGCACACACAATCCCGGGCGTCGCCTAGTAAAGCAGCTCTTAATATGCAAATGAGACAAGAATTTGCATAATAATGCGAGAGTAATATGTAGATACCTCCGTTTAGTGATGACTGACTACCCTCACACCTGCTGTGATGTCTGTGACTACCCTCACACTTGCTGTGATGTCTGTGACTACCCTCACACTTGCTGTGATGACTATGACTACCATCACACCTGCTGTGATGACTGTGACTACCCTCACACCTGCTGTGATATCTGTGACTACCCTCACACTTGCTGTGATGACTGTGACTACCCTCACACCTGCTGTGATGTCTGCGACTACCCTCACACTTGCTGTGATGACTGACTATCCTCACACCTGCTGTGATGTCTGTGACTACCCTCACACTTGCTGTGATGACTGTGACTACCCTCACACCTGCTGTGATGTCTGTGACTACCCTAATACCCGCTGTGTTGACTGACTACCCTCACACCTACTGTGATGACTGACTACTCTCACGCCCACTGTGATGACTGACTACTCTCACGCCCACTGTGATGACTGCATACTCAACCTGTATCTTGACACTAACCTTACATAACCCCCTACTGTGAGACCTACTGCGCTGATACACACGCCACGGACTAGCCATTCCTACACCCATGGTCTCTGACACCACTCCAGCATACCCACAACCACAATATCGCAAGACACCAATACTGTCGCCTTCATTACCACCACAACCACGAGAACTACCCCCCCCCCTCACAACCACCACCAGCGTCTCGTGACACGTTGCCATCTCCGTCAATTTATGCCTGGCAGACCACAAAATTATTGTGTCAATAAAGTGCTTCACGTGTAAGTGAAATTTGTCACCCACATGCCATAGTTGACACAAGAGTGTGGCAGACACCTTCAATAATTAGTGTGTGTGCTAGTGGTCACCTTAGTGAACGATCCCACAACACCACACACCACCTCTTACACCCCCACCCCATCAGTGAGAATCCCTCCCACAACCCCACACATCTACACAGAGCGTGGTAACCGTGGGCTCAGCTTGCAGATGGTGATATAGTGAGATCTGCTGATGGTGAGGGTGAGTGTGGTGGTACGGTGCAAGGGTACAATGTAAAGGCCTACAGAGGAACAA